ATTCCGGCAAAAAAAAAGTAAAATAAAAAAAAAACACTGAAAAATTACATCTAGATAGTGGAAGTGATATTTTAATATATTCAAATTGATTTCTAAATACGATGTTTAAGAAGACATAAACTTGTACTACAGATTTACAAGAAAAAAAATTGATTTCATGAAAACCAAAAGCATTGCTCATAAAAAAATCTCAAAGTCAATTGATTAAAAAAAAAAAGGTAACAGTTTATTCAACTTGCGTGAAAACTGGGGCGTGTTTGGAAATTCAACCTAAGAATCAACAAAGTGATAACGCACTCAAATATGGGTTTGATTGAGGGGATCAAGAGACGAAATCACTTGGATGGAGATAAAACAAAACTGTACAGATCCTACCTAATCGCCCCAGTGATTAGCTCATCCCTCTCCCGTACAAATGAATTCAGTGTTTGTAGGCAATGTAATGAAAAAAGTTTCGAAGCCACAGCCACGTAAATTACGTGCCATACAACACAACATGTACATAACGCATCTAGAGCAGGTATATAATTTTTGCATAATTCACGGGGAAACCCAAAATAGACGAGGATCCAAAGTTCACGAAGGAGTTACGAAAATTCACACGCGGAGGGTGGGAGGGTGCAATGAATGTAAGCCGTTTGCGGCAGCTGAACTAACCCGTAGGAATTATGTAGGTCAGCAAAACAGGTACACAAAACAATAGAGCCGCGCACCCGCAGCCGTACGAGGAGGGGGAAAAAAAAGGTTCAAAAACACGGTCCACTTCCCCGAAAACCACACGAAAAAACAGCGGATGTCCCCGTCTCTTTTAATTATACATATCTTTCCTCGTCGCGACACACTAGGTACATTTGGTGGAGCACATCGCCCTTACCCCTCTTAATTTTAACACAAACGCACGTCCTTCCCCGGTATAAAGATGTTCACAGCTGGAACTCCCCCAAGACGCGAAAAACGAAGCGAACGCTTTGAAAGAAGAGAAGCGGAGCGCACACACGCGCGAGCTCTAAAGCTATACGGGAGAAGGAGAGAGAGAGGAAGTTGCGTTTGTTCCCCGAGATTTCTTTTTCCCCGAGTCCTATACGAGTGCTCTCTAATTATCTCCGTCCCTCGTGTATGTATACGTACAGAACCGAGCAGGGGCACGCGCTTCAAGTTTCCACGGCGAAGAGTTAGAGTACATATATATACATTACACGAGACAGCTTGAATTGCCCTCCTCGCGGTGCATGCGATGCTCATCCCGTCTTGTTTTACTTTTTGCACTTTGTGAGCGAGACGGCGCGCGTCTTCGTTTGTAAGCGATCGCGTACGTTTCCCGTGTTTGCCCCTCTGGAGTTTTCGTTGGGGTGTACGAACGAACTTTTTCACTAGCCCGATTTTCGAGGGGTTTCGGCGCGCGTGGGCGTTCCGGTGGCCCCTCATTGATCTCGTGAAGGGAATTTTAATTTTTCCTTTCCCCCCCCCGCAAAGTCTCTGGTGGCCGAGCAGTGGCCGAGCATCTTGGAGGAACGAAAGGTATTTTCCACAGATTTTTCAAAATTTTCAATCCCCGAAACCGTCAACTTTATAGACGAGCAGTGGATCCGTCTTCCCCGAAAACCTCGTGTTTTTCCAAAGAGAAGCAATTCTACCGTCATCCGTTAACATTTTGGATTTTCATTAGGCTTTTTATCGACGTATCCGTAAAAAGATTCAAGAGGTCGACGATTTTACGGGCTTTCCACAACTGCTCGTCGATGCGATCCTGCACGTGGCTCACATGTGAGGGGGGGGGGTATATATCGTGTACACGTAACCCTGGGCTGTTTTTACTTTTACCGCCTCCCTCTGATAGCTTTACCTTTTTGACATCGGCATCCGTCTTATGCCCTTAATCGAGTACACGAACGTGTTTGTGGAGAGACAATCAAGGCGCGATGCGCCATTTTCGGTCGAGCGAACGAGTTCCCCGGAAATCCGTCTTATTCCCGTGAAAAAAGAAAGACACCTCGTTCGTCATCCCTCGGAGCGGGTTTGAAGAAACGTTGCATTATAATCGGGCGCACAGAGGGAAAAAGGGAGGATCGAGGAAGGGGAGCGCAAAAACACGCCGATACCGTATACGGCTCGGAATTGCAAAGTACACCCATATCATGTATATATACGCGTACATCTCACGAGCTGGTGCAGCAGTGCAGGCAGCTGGAGCACTCGAAACGCGAAAAAAAAAGAAAAAAAGAAAAAAAAATGTAGGAAAAAGAGAGAGAGGAGGCGCCGACGCGTGGCTTATGTACCCCATGGCGCGGAGAAAAGACGCTGAAACATATATATATCTCGACGCACGTGTGGCGTTGAGAAAAGAGACAATCTCGGTGTGCACGGAGCCGACTCTCTCCCTCCCCGCGACTGTCAAATTCCACCCTAATACATGTATGCATGTAGCCTTGGGATGATCCCCCTGCCCCTCGCGCGCGACGGTATATATATACACACACGTAATTTTTGAGGCCCCCCCCCCTCGGATGTTACTCTCACACCGTGTGTCCCGAGCTCCCCTCTTTATCTTCTTTTTAGCCTCGTCCGCGTTAGGTATCTATATACACACACGGGGTACGGCGCGTATGAAATATACAGGAGAAGCGACAAAGCCACTCCAGCGCGAAATGGAACGGCACGCTGCCGGTGGGGGCGGGAAGAAAAAGAAAACAAACAAATAAACAGAGAAGCCCATACGGTACCAATACTGCACTGATGCGCGCTGATAGTGCCATTATTATCGGCATCCCCGAAACAACTTTGTTTCGGGGGACAAATGCGGGACGTACAATAGTGCAAAAAAAAAAGCTCTTGGATCTGCCCAGTAATTTACGTGTGTACCCTAGAGGAGGCTGTTGCATCGCGAAACAAGGACCTTTGCTCGCGTTAGTCGTTAAAGTCCATTATGCACAGTGGCCGAGTACATATATGTATACAGGTTGGAAGATAAACGAAGATTGCGCTCGTGAAAAATGCACGCCCGCGTTACATGGGCAGAGGACACGGGGGTTGCTTCAATTTTTACGGGGTTGAGGAGGCAAACAACCCGAGATGACAAATTGCCAAACAGAGGGGTGCGTTTATATACCTAGTTTTTTTTGCTGTGCAATGTATACACTTGCATGCTCGGGGAGAAAGAAGTGCGTATCAAGCAAAGTACACGGGGATCAGGGTGACAAGGAAGGAAGGAAGGAAGGAAGGTTTATCAGAATCTCGTATACATGGTGGATCTCACACGGACTATTCGCCAAAGTGGATATGGCCGGGGCTTTACGTACAAGTGTCTATATACATACCGTACCACCTATGGATACGCGCGGCGGCTTTTGAAGTCGTTCCCTGGGATAATATCGGCGAAAGCAGGTGGCGAGAGTGCAGGGGCGTCCGGAGATGATGTACCTACCACCCTGTGGAAGCGCGGGACGAGGAAAAATGAAGGGAGCTAGCGGAAAAATAAGGTGTCGCGGAGAAATTCACGAAGCCCTTTACGCTGACTTTCTCGGAAGTAAAAAGGGCTTTTCCTTCTTTCCTATGTACGTTCTTTGCTCTCCCGTGTAATATCGGAGAGAATAAGGGGGAAAAAGGTTTTTAAGCGTCGCAAGCTGAGGGGCGAGCTCGTGAAAAGATTCGAGGGATAAGGCGAGGGGGGGGGGTGGGTTTGGTAACGATTGTGGACTCTCTGTGTAAATTATTCGATCGTTTTGTGTTTGCGGGGAAGCGGATGTGGACCCAAAGGACCTCATCACGCAAAAGGGGACATCTCGAGCGAGTAGAGTTCCTCTCTCTCTCTCTCTTGGCTGTAAAGCTTCGCGTGCGCTTATTGTGTACACGCGCAAGGCTGGCTGTGCCTGAAACATTAAAGTCACCTCTCTAGTCCAGGGATACGTGTATACGCGTACGTATCCCTCGTCTCACTATAATTTTTTTCCCGCAATACACTCCACCCGGGAGCCGTTACCGAGTTATTATAATATGCGTGTCCCGGAATTCGATTAAAATAATCTCGGATGGGAATCTATACCTCCTCCTTGCTAAAAAAAAAAAAAAAAAAAAAGGACGCGTTCGTGTATTCTAATGAAAACTACACTTTCATTCCCAGCCAAACTCTCGAAAGTGTACAAAGTAGCGAGCGCGCGAGGGGGGGGGGGATTTCGGGAGAAGGTGAAAATAAGGAACAGAGTCGGGAGCGGCCGTAAAGTCCAGTTAGAGATAACGAGCGTGCAGTCGGACCGAAGGTGAGGAAAATCGTATAGAGCTAGATAGTACCAAAAGGGGGGTGGGGTGGAGGTCGAAAGGTGTGTAAAGTATCGCGGAGGAGCGATCTGCGCGGGATAAAAGGGTTGCGACGAAAAATCGCCGGAAGACAAGTCCGAGGATGATAGCCGATTGGTACGATATTTTAAACAACCAGGGGGGTAAAGCCTGCGAGTTGAGAAAAGCCACACACATCCCGACAGCGATAAGCGAGAGAAAGGAGGAGAGACGCGTGTATATATACATATACGTAACTTCAGCTGTACACTTGGACCCTGAGTGTGAATGTACGTGACACACGTATATACCCCTTGTACCGAATGCCAAGTCGATCTCCCTGCCCGCACCTCTGCATGGTTGCGCGCCTGCGCCCGGGCGTCGGACGTATACCTGCCAACACACGCACGCCTTACTCTACTCAACTACGACTACTAGGTACCACTACTACTACTCTTCCCCATTGCTGCCTGCACTGCCACCCACACGCAAAACCCCTTCTCTGTCTCTTTTTTGTTTTCTCAAAGCGCGTGCAACTGAACACACAGGTGTACACCAAGGGGTAGTCGGGTGGGGAGCGCACCAGCAGCAATGACGGACGCTCGGGGGTGACGAACGAAGAAGGAGGAGGAGGAGGGCTGGCTCGAGTGTATAGGAGCGGAGCTACGTGTGCGCGCTTCCCGCTCGACTAGTACACCGCGGAACGCTCGCTCGCTCGGCAGCAGTGGAGCCCGGCCGTACATTACTTACCTGGCTCGCGTACCTGCCAACAACTACTCCTTTCATCTTTCTCTTCTTCCATCCCCCGATGCACTGTATGCGTCGTCGTGTCCTTTTGCCTGTTGTTTTCCTTACTGCGCGCCCGCGTGTGTGTGTACGCGTGCGCGTGTGTCTCGTCGACGTTGCAGCTTATCACGGTTACCTGCGACTTGGGCAGTAGGACAGCAGCCCGGGTTCCCGTGATCTCGTGTCCATCCCCAGGTGCAACAACAGTCGTACCGTGCATCGTGACACCGTGGACGGGAAGAGAGAAAACGGGGACTTGGTGCTGTCGCGGGGGGCCCTTGGTCATTCTAAGCACGGGCCTGACTCGCGCGCACCACTATAGTCCAGTATACATTAACGGCACGCGCTCGGGGACGAGTTGCCTGACTCCGTTCCTCTGCGCGGCGGCCTACTAACCCGACCTTGGCTCCGACCGACCAGGTAAGGAGTTACTCGCTGCTCGGGCCCCTCGGCTTTATCCGACTATTGTTTTTTTTTTTTTTTTTTTTTTTTTAATTACGAGAAAAAACATTTACTCGATGGGGGAAAGAAAAAAAANTTTATTTTTTATCTGATTTGGGGATTTTTTTTTAATATTTAAAAAATAATAATCACTCTGTTGCCTAATCTAAAATTATTGAGTGTTCGAAGAGTTGAAATTAGTGACACTGCGGTAAAACTTTGTAGCTTTCCCTCGTACCTTTGGCACAATGATAGCTGGTGGCCTAGCATTCTTGACTATTGTTTTTTTTTTTTTTTTTTTTTTTTCTTCTTTTTTACTCGTAAGGTGCCTAATTTTGTTTTATTTTGTATTTCTTGTTTCCACGATGGGGCTACGCACCGTGAGAAAGGTATTTTCCGCGCAGGGTAGATATGTAAGTAGAGTAGGTCTGAGTTTGGTCAGACGTGGGACGCGTGTGAAAGGCTGTACACAGAGTTTGCCTCGCACGTTTACTCGAGTGTGAAAAATAAATTTATCGACACACTCATTTGTTGCGTTGACTTTGAATTGCTTGGAGATGTGCTTGGATGAGTCGCATTGACGGAATCAAATTTTCGTTTAGATAGGCTTTATTCCAACGTTCGCTGAAATGGTGTATTTCACCGGAAAATGTGATAAAATAAACATCCCATGAAAGTCCTCGTTAATAAATTGATGAAGCTAAAGTAGCTCCCTGTGTGTACCGAGCTCATCTTTTCTCTATTCTATAATGTTATTGTCACTCGAGACTTTTTTTCTTTTTACAATCCCGTAACAATCCTTTTTTTTTTTTTTTTCTTCGAATCCACCAAGCCCAGAATCGCGTGGCTACTATCGGAAAAATTTGTCACTTTATATAGTCACTTTATATTTTATACCACGCGAATCAAAAGTGTGCGTATCCATTCAGATACCAAAGCGTGCGTAGCTGTAGCAAATTATTCGCGTGATAACAAAAAATGCGCCCACACGTTGAAAGCAGCGATAAAAATTAAATAAAAAAAAAAAACATTTCCCTCGCTTTTTTCTTTCTTCCTTTCTTGTTTTAATTAAACTAACGCGTGTTGATAAAAAAAAAAAAAGGCAGGGGGTAAAGAACGAACGAGAGTCTTAATTCAACGTCACGGGGGTGGGGGCGCCGTTCGAGAGTTTATTTCCCTTTCCTTTTTCCTTCGCGCCTTGAATAAGTATTATCTTGGGTCAAAGTTGGCGGAGGAAAGCGAGAGAATAACTCCTGGAATTGCTGAAGTTTTCACGCTCGTAATGTACAAATATATACGTACATCGTAGGTGCATTATAAACGTGAGATAATCAAGGGTCGAAATTTAAATATTAGCTTTACAATTGCCAAGGGGATTACGGGGTGTATTGTATACTTTGCAGAGTTAGTCCGAAGAATTTATGATGATACGAATAAAAAGTGCCGACGCACCGTAGGACGTGAAAATTTCTCTTGTCCATTAAGTACCTTTTGTACCAACGCGTGTAATTTGACGTACACGTGTATAAAGGCGAAAGTAGGTATTATATAGCTCCCCACTCGAAGGTTAATACACTGCATCACCTAAAAAAGTAGTACCTGTATACTCTGCAGCTGAAAGCAGCTAAATAATAATCCTTGGATCAGATTAGCTTCTTGATGGAAAAAGCGCTCTGAATTAATTAGAAACGAAAGACTTTCATGCGTTATAATATGCACGCACGCGCGGACGGTGCACACTCAATTACGTGCATTATTATAATTAAATTTACTACCACCCCCTCTCGAGCGACCTTTCCTCGATAAAAAAGCTCAACATAAATTTTGCTCGGGCAAACAATGCGGGGAGTATATTTTACGCGTATAATTGCCAAGTCGTCATGATGAACATTTTACCCCCACACCTCCGAGGTAATGATAACATTATATCACAACACGTATACACACACACTCGCGCGCATACAATGACACTTGTTATTATTCACCCGGTACACATGCTTGTAGGAGTTGGTGAAATAATTGAAAAAATTCTCACGTACAGTACAATACAACAAAGTCATCGAAAGCCATTAACTCGAGGCCGTAATAAATAGATACGATGTTGTGTCTCATATCTTCTCCCCATGAATACGGGAAAAAAAGTCGACGCGTTGAGCTCCGAATAACCGTTTGCTCCTTCGCAGGCGCAATTTTCCAGGGTGGGAGGAAATAACAAAAAGACCAAACACTCTTAGAGGGACGAGCTTTTAGCGCCGCAGTTCAGCACAAGTGCGCACGTACGTGTATATATGATAAATAAGCTCTTTGCCTCCCGAATCGAAATTGTTTGCCGGTCCGTGGAGCAAACAAAAGGGGGCGAGACGTATATATGCATGGCAGTTCACGTGCTGCAACGGGGAGGTATGTATACTATCCTAAAACAGCAGTAAAGGGCGAGCCACGAGGGAGAGCCTCCTCGCTTATTTCCATTTGACGAGCGTCACGTGGGAACGTGTATAGGTATATAGAGCTTTTTGACACGTCGCTACAGGGAGATTAGCGCGACGGGAGAGGGGACTCGGATTTTTTACGTCGCGTTGTCCCCTACGGCTCTTCTTTTCGATTGGACGATTTCATACGATGGTCCCTCGACTCTCTCGGAATCGCGTGCTCCATACGTTTTTCCCTCCCGTTATTATTCTTTTTCTTATTCCTCTCGATTCTCGATTGTTGCTGGAAAGGGGGTGGGGGGAGGTATTCTTTTGACGGCGAGTGTCGATTTGTTTTCGTCCCTGGGAATTAATTGCTCCCGTGGAGGGTGCGTAGGGAGGGCCAAGGCGACGAGATGATTGATCGGCGCCGATGTGGGGCCGAGGGTGGGCAACGATGCCTCGGATGGATAATTGTATCCTTACAATGGCGGGCCTTGGATAAAAAATATTTGTTACTTGGTAGTCGCTGGCGTGTCTCAGTGTGGATTTCCCTGCTTGTATGTTTAAGAAAGTGTCGCGTTCGAGACCCCTCGACGAGATACAGAAACGCGTGTGTATGTTTACGTGGTGATACCTATTGACATTGGACTGGAAATTAAATTGTGTCAAATCTCTTGTATCCAGTGTGACTCCTGCATTTTTTTTAGTTGTAGTTCCGATTTTGTAGGACGCGTGGAGGACATGAAATCGGCATTTATTTGTTTTTCGCCACAGTTGATGGCCTTATCGTTTTGTATACAAGGTACCAACGTTACAATGGGAAAATAACTTTTTTGCTTTACAAACATTTTCAAGTTATTGGCACGTATCGCGTAAATAAATTCTGTACACTTGTTTACTTAAATTTTGAATTCGTTTTTCCACTAAAATTGCGGACTGTTGATGAAAGCACTGTTATTCCAGAACCACGTCACCGATTTTACGTAGCATACAAACATTTTTTATTTCATGTTACCAAAACTTGAAATATAAATATCGGTAAATTTTATGGTTGTTTATTTTCTTATTCATCAGACAAGATCTCATTATTAACAAGTTTATAAAAGTATCAAGATTATGTGAAACTGTTAATGTATTGCTTTTAATAAATATATTGTACTTTTAATGACTCGCGACTTACGTGAACCAACCACTAGTCAATATTAAATGTGGCGTTGACTAAATCTATAAATATAAAAAAAAAAGTAAAATTTCGTTGCCCGTTTCCCGTGAACAGCGACCTTTATAAATTATTCACTTTGGGCACAAAGGAAGCGAGAGGCATATAAATAAAAAGATGTAACGTATAAAAAAAAAACTTGCTGCATAATTTGCGATTGTGTTCCAACAACGTTTCGACCTCGAAAAAGAATTTTTTTTTTTTTCATCCCTGATATCGTTTAACCCAAGGTCCATCGGGTGTTGCCAAGTTCTCCAGAGTTTTCCCAATAGTTTATTCCTTCAATGGGTACGTATCTATAACACTACCTGCCGAACTTTGTCGGATAAAATTCTCTACAAGTATACAGAGGAAAAAAAAAGAAAATTTCACACTTCAACTCTATATTAATCGGCTGGTCCTCCTGTATCTCACTTTAGCAACTCTGTGACCTTTACGTGTGTACAGAGGGACCGTGAAATGTGTCGATTTTACTCATTTGTATACATTAATTTTTCTACTTGTTAATTTTTACATACTTTTTTCTTCCCTCACCTCCTTTCCACATACTTGTATTAATGTAGTTGTTTTTTTTTTTTTTTCGGCACTGTGCTATCTTCCTGCAAGTATTCAACCAGCATTAGATATTATTTCAATGGTGGCTACGGCTTACGGTATAACTCGAGGCACGTATTCCAAAGCTTATATATTATACCCTCAGTCGGAGCAATTTTCGTTTCCGCCTTAATTAAATGTATCATTATTTTATACGCTACACGATATGTGGAACAAAGCAGTACGAGAACACAAGAGCTTGAGCCATGCTTACCTACACGTACCCAGTGCTGAGGAGCCAGACTGTTTGCACGTATCAGGCGTATGATTTTGCTTTGATATCAGTGCACTTTAAAGGTACATAGACTTTTGGGCCCTTGTTCCCGCGACCGAGGGAACGCCGTGCTCCAACTGTAGGGCGGACAGTGCAAATTAGTTGTACTTTTTTTTTTTTTTTTTTCTTCATTATGATTCCCAGGATCACTATAAAGTTCGTTCAACCAAGGCAAGGCCTTGAATCTAAATTGCAAAGTATAAAAGACCCAACAATGTACACGAAATTATGTGATAAATTGTACAGAATCGATGGGGTGTATACATTGCTGATACCATTAAAACAATGCTGATGCTCCGAGTGGTCTCGTAGCCTGTACAATCCATATAATTGCAGTCCGAGCTCTGGACAAGCAGCAGCAGTACCGGCCGTTAAGTCCATCAGAAGGAGAACAAGAAATTTCTATCCACCGTTAGGTTCGAAGCGGAAGTCCGTCTTTGAATAATTACATGCAAAAGTATATTTAATGTCAAACTAACTG